AACTATATATATCCCCACGGTATATTCCGAATGAAAGGTAGAACAAAACAAATGTGCATATTGTAGCGAAACTATCATACTACAGTAAATAACGGCCCCAAAATAGTCTATATATGACAAGTAATACTCAAGACATGTGTTTGTTATTGTAATAACGTTAGCAGCAGCTTAATTTACAGCTCATGATGTAGTGCTTTTCTGGTAGATAATGTGACAAGAAATTGAGACAGACGATATCTCCAATCCTCGATGGTCTAACGGTCATGATTTCCGCTTGTCAATCCCTTTCGGGAACAAGCGCGGGAGACCTGGGTTCGACTCCCAGTCGGGGAGATTTATTTTTCGTTTTTGTTTCCCCCCCGCTCCATCCCGTGCAAGTCTTATCTTCCGCATCCCGAATTCGCCCGATTGCGCCACATGCGATCTTATCTCTGAACGCCATGTGTGATTCTTCTTATTATTCATTTCTTTTTGTCTTTTTTTTCTTTTTTCCCTTCCCAATAGTAGTATAGACCATGTTTGCTTCTTTTCATGAGGTTGAACCTCTTCATCCTAGTCCTAAGAGATCGCAATGCTCATAAAAAAATCTGAAGGTAGTGAACTAGCCCTGTAGACTGAAGCGATACTATCATCACTACGAAAGAACGGAAACTCCTGTTAAAGACCCAAAACATAAGGCAGGTTTCATTCAAGACTGTTTGTTAACAGCCGCCCTGAATCATAATATCCCACAACGCAGGCCACAATGACCTACTTGCACGGGGATACTCCTGCCATATGACTCTGGGCAACCAGAACCCAGCCTCAATGGCAATGCCTACCATCCAAGGCAACATCGCATCTCCAAATAACCCTCTGGACCTGCGACCAGCAGTAACGTACATGACAGTCACCACAATAGCAAAACTGCCGATTATCTCAGCAATATATGCATCGCGTATCGAAACTCCTTCAAGACTGATGATACACCCCATATCAAACTCTGTGCTACCACATGCTTCTTGCACAGCCCACACTGCCAAGGCACCTCCAACAACTTGTCCAGCAATGTACATAGCAGCCCGCGATAAGGACATTCGGTGAAGAAAGTACGCAGCCAATGTGATAGTCGGATTGACATAGCCGCCACTCGAGCGCGTAAAAGTAACGATTATCAAAGGGAGGAGGCACATATTGACGATACTCGCAGGTAAGAAGCGAACCCAATCGTAAATGTCCGTTCTGAGGTAGGAGAGATTACCGATATCGACTCGATCTTTGGATGCTGGTGCAATCGTCACCCATGTCAACATGAACGTGTACATCATGCTGGCTGTATCTCTGGTTTAGCGCTCCATACAACCGTAACCATATTAATATTGGGGTCACCATCTTACCGACACATTCTAGTAAGGTGCACTTCCACATAGTGACGTCCGCCAAGCACTTCCAGCCTGACAAGTCTGTACTTGGCTGGAACGTATTTTGATATCCATCGCCACGGGTCTGAGGGAAGCCGGCCACAGGTGCGATGCCGTGCGCTGGCTTCTCGCGACAGCCACTCTTCTCCATCCCAGGTATCATGATGTTGAAAGAGTGGAAAACGCAACCATGCACATGGTAAAAGTGCCAAGTTCGACAGTAACTGAAGTATGAAGTTGTTGTGGTTTGCTCGGCGGCCGGCGACTGCCGACCCGAGGAAAGTGGATCGCTGATATGAGATGCTCTTAGACGGGGAATTGTTATCAATCACAAATAGGAATGACACTGTCTGTGACCTACAAATGAACCCAACAGACTTATTACTCTTCTTCTGACTGTCGCCGTTCGGGTTCTTTCGGGTCCATGGAAGAGCCTTTTACCCGTTTCAGTAAGTAGACTTAGCTGTTGAGATGAAATCTAGTCACCTGCTTTGCAGGTGACGGGTATCTATTCAGAGCGAGAAATGCTTCTAATTGAAGGTAAAAAACCAATTGAAATACAAAGACAGAATGATATCTCGGGAACGAACAAAAAAAGCTAGGCAAAATCGCGATGAGGGGACAACTGCTCCCTGAGCACGGTTGTGCCGCCCCTATCGTATAGAAGAAGAAGTGAACGGAAACAATCGCCATATCCTAGTGTTCAAGGCATACTCATGCCAACGCTGGGAGGATACATCTTCAATCCCACTACTACGTGGGAACGAAGCAGCTTACCAGCTAGAGCACTTGGAGGTCGCCGTCGTCCAGCCAGTGAGACGGTTGGCGATATCAGAGGCGTAGCAAGAAGTGGCACCGGAGGCAAGATCAAGGTTGGTGGTCGACTTAAGGGAGTTTACACCGGAGTTGTAAAGTCTGGCGGCACGGTAGTAGGCCGCAACCCCAGTCCGATCGGCCAAGTCCAGGTAAGAAGCGAGGCCATAACCACCACTGGAGGAAGTTCCAATAGCTGAAGTAGGGAGATTGATGTTAGAAACTGCAGGTCCCTCAAGGATATTGACAAGGATTATAACGTACCTCCATCGCGGATCATCTGGACGATCTCCGAGTCGGAGCAGGTGCTCTTTCCATAGCAAGTACCGGTACCCTGGAAACTCTGCATGAGGCCAGGGTTGCTTACACTGTTGGCGGTAGTCGGGACTCGGACACAGCCCTTGGATTCCTGCAGAACCACGGCCAGAATGAAGCGATGGTCGACCTTGGACTCCTTGGCGACCTTCTCAATGGCACTCTTGATGTTTGCGGTCTCGGTCGCCGAGTTGTCCTGGCCCCAGCCATTGTTGCTGCAGGACTTGGCGATGACAGCTTCCTTGTTGGCTTCCCACCTATAGTAGTATTTGGTTAGCACAATGAATGCTTTTGAAAGCAAGTCCGACGGAAGGGAGGTCTCAAGCATACATCGCATCGAAGGAAAGCCAGTCGGACTTGGCGGGCCATCCATCAGCCGTCGAACCATCGCCGGTGTACTTGGTGTAAGAGTTCGAGCCGGAGCTCTTGCCAACACTGTCGTTGACGCTAGTGACAGCCAACGCGCTGACGCTCACCACTGCGTTGGTGGAACGGGAGGCCAATTGCTCTCCCTCCTCGACCTCCAGGGTCCGAGTTCCCAACGGAGCGGCGGCGGCGATGCCGGCAAGGGAGCCGACAGCAAGGTACTGTAGGACAGATGTTAGTACTCTGTTGCTGAGAGCCGGATATGTGCAGGATGGCTGCTCACATTGAAGAACTGAGTGAAACGCATCTTGATAGAAAGGTATTGTAAGTTGGAAATTGGTTGATGAGTAGGACAAATGCTAATGATTGTGTGCTCTGCAAGGAGTGTATGTGATTGAAGGAATGTGGTGAAGCTAGTCAATAGCTTCTGGATAAACTGAAAAAAAGTGAAAAAAAAGGAAGGACTGTCGAAATCGACTTGATACTGTGAATATGCTCTGCTTGGATAGAGTCATTTTGGAGCAGCGCACTCGCGCTCTTTATACGAGCTGGCGGTATGGCATCTCTTCAGCCCCTCTCAGGAACAGAAGGTGTGAAGGATTGTGAGCGGCCCCAATTTGCAGGAGATGCTCCAAGGCATCGTTGGTTGGATACTACTTGTGAACGGTGGGCTGAGTGACTTGAGGGGTCCGAGCAAATCAGCGATGATAGTCGGTCATCACCAACGGCCCGCTAATTTAGCTGCCAATCGGGGCTGACGTGTGACAGTACGAAATGAAGGATAATGTCATCGCGTCTATCCGATTCTGCCCTCAGGATGCATCTGAGAGGCCCGTCCAACATCTTGAAGATGCGGAAACCTAAGATCGTGCGGCACTACGCCGACACCAGCCCACCGGGGGTATAATCCAAGACCAGTAGGATGGATAATCCTCCCTCCATGATAGAGACTAGCGCAAGAAAAAAGCCCGAGGAGCCATGTGCGCAAGGCCGACAGAGCCAAGCTCAGCGAGCATCCGTGTTGGCCGAGCCCATGAGAGCCATCATTGGGAGAAGTCTCCACCCCGCGGCTGTCGCAGGTTCAGGCGCGAGGAACCAGTTAGGAGGATGAACTGACCAACGTTAGGTTTTGCATGGGCCACCGCGAGTCGGAAAGAGGAACCGAGAGCACACACTGCCTGTGCCAAATAGCATCATTGACTGGAGGGAGACTCGTCTAATGTGTGAGTTGACTGAGTTCAGGCAGACACGTTCGGGCTGAGGCCGAACTAGTGCGGGGCCGAAATCTCCATCGATTTGTGATTTTCCATCTTCACCGAGACAAACACACACCGACTGCCAGAACTATTCTGTTTAAGAAGCACTCAAAGAAAAAAAAAAAAAGGCATCCGGTATACACTCAAGCCTTTGCTGTGTTGTGTTTCCCTCGTCTAGTGAGAGCGCATCGACGCACTCTCGGAGACTCGAGAGTTACACACATGCCAGCAGCCCTAAGGCACACAGAGACTCCCCGAGAAACTTTGTAGAACAGTCATGTAGTGCAGTGGAGATGCCCCTATTCAATATTGGTACTGTGTAAGGCACTGTGTAACGGAAGGGGCCGGTTTCAGCTTCCAGGGATTGAGTTTGTGTTTCAGATGGTGGCTGTGGCGATCCAATCTGGGGGCAGAGAACCAACATCTCGGCTTCCCGTTCCTGCGTAGTTTATTCTCCGGGCGCCTCGATTGCTCATAGGAAGCTGACATTGGCAGACGGCGGATCCGGCCAAGCGCTGTGGCGGTGGGTGGGGTCTGACGCTGCTGGACATGAGCGAGCACGCCGGCCGAATTTGTCCTTAGCGAGACAGGCTAGTCTGGCAGACTTTCCCTTGGCGTCGGATCAGAAGCTATCCAGATGTTACCCCCCTTTCAGCTTCTCATCACACTGCTGGTATCCTCTCCATCTCTAACCCTGCCATAATGGTCATATGGAATGTATCCTTTCAGGCCAGAAACTTTATTATCCATGTGTTTTTACAGCACCGACCTTTCCGGATTGCTGTTCCGAGGGGTCCTAGCCACACCTTAACTGGAGATGTTGGCATTCGACTACCCACTCTCTCTGCAACATCGCAAGTTGTATGCCAAGTACTACTTGACAAATAGACATACACGAGGAGTTTAATTCCGTCTCACTGCCTCAAAGGATGATGCAGATACTGCTCTGGCCCGGTGCAGGTTCGGCCCCCAACTCTGACTCCATCCCGTTGGGGGTGTTCGTCATGACATGAAGATGCAATGCAGGTACCGTTCGTCAGACACGGAACAAGCTACTATATCTCTCAGAGCTGGTGTCCCGGCGATTTCTTTGACATGGGAAATTTCTAACGGAGCAATTACTCTACCCCGGGTCACCCAGACCAATAAACCACTTCGGTCACGTTCTGGGTCACACCACTCCAATATACCGGCCCAGTATTTCACTATGTTCCCGCAGTTGGCATCTGCTGATGTTGCAGTGACATCCCCAGGGTTCGGGGCCTTAACAAAAGCTCCACCCAACACAGCAGGATCAACCCCTTGTGGCTATGTCGTCCCCCCTCAATTGTCATACAGCTTCAATTCTCTTAGGGGCTATTTTATTGTGAACTCGCTTGACAACAAGCTCTTGCGACAAACTGTCCTCCCCTTCGATTGACACCCCATTCCAAATGGCCTAGCAACTTTTTCCTTCCAACTTATTTTTTTGGGCTTTCCTGTTGGCACTTGCAGCAAGCATTGCAGCTATAAATATAGACCGTGGAAAGAACTGCTCGGCACTGAGGGACGATGAGAGCGCCATAGAGGCATGGTATGTGTACTATGTCGTATTGCACATTGGAGCCGGCATGACAGTGAAGACTACACGCTTGAGTTGACAAGCGTACATCTTCTATACCTTTTGCCAAAGCAGGTCTGCCCGGTTTCTACCAAGAACAGGGAACATTATGCTAAGCTCCACGGGCTACCAACTGGCTTGAGAAGAGTACTAACAGAGGCATTCCAGGCTCAGAGAAGCGTTCCTGCTGACCGAAGTTGTGTTACTAACGCACCTCATATAGAAACGAACCTGCATGACGAAACACGATCTCTCTTTTAAACGCAACGACAGGTTGGTCTCGTGGAAACATCGAAGGAATGAATGTGGCTGGGACCTCAACTCCTTGAGGGGACCTTCGTTCCCATGCTTCCCCCGGCGTTATATTGTGTGACAACGCACCGATGGGATGAAAGGCATCTCTACTCGAAGCCTCTCGAAATCTCTTTCCCGGCTCCAATATCCAGACTATAACATGCTGCCCGACCATTGGACACCCTATCCCGAGGTGAAATCTGCCCGCCATCTCTTTCACATAGGAGCATGAACGGACTGCGTGCATCCCTGCCTATCCGTTGGTGGAAGCTGGGAACATATACACAAAACAATGCAGGAACACAGGAGCAAGTGGCATGATATGTGCCTAGCGCCCTTTCGATGGATTTCGGCATGTCCGACGACCTGTCAACATGGGAGTTCGTCTTGTTGCCCTGTCAAGCTGACAGAATATTCTTTTTCATACCACCACAGATAGAAAAGTAGTTCGTATTACAATGTTTGGCTAAGTGCAAGTGTACCTTGACCATCCTAAGCGATGCCAGGAGCAGTGAAAAACCGATACCGGATAAAGCTGTAGTCTGCTCTAGTACGGGCACGGTCGCTATCTTAACAGGGAGTGACCGTGTGTTATAAGAGAAAATCTAATGGTAATGAGGTGGGTGGAGTGAATGCTGACACGCGCCAGCCTGTGATCCTTCTACCTCTGACTTCCACGAATGAGAGGTAAAGTTCCCTACTCTAGCCAGTCAAACTGGAGCCAGTACATCCTGGTGGCTCTACATAATGCTGTAGCGCTGCCAGAAAACCTGGCAGACTTGGGAATGCTGTCTCCACATGTCAGATTTGCTTAGCAATCTGCTCTTTTCAATATAGGTCTAAAATGACCCCGATCGATAGCACTGAAGTTTTGACAGCTGCTCAGCCTTGCGAGACGCATGAGCAATGGCCAACGACTTCGCCTGTATATAATGCAGGCTCTTCCAGAGTTGGTGCAACTCACAACCATTCTTTCTCTCTGTCAGGTTCAGTATCGGTTTGACCACAGTACAGCTTAACCATGACCGAGTCTGATACCGTTGTCTCTGTCGCAAGTGACCCTGCGTCATCCAATCCAAAAAAGGACCTCAAGTCGAAAGAAGAAAAGATCGGAATTACCTCTCATTGGATCTTCATAATTTGGAGCTGGTTTCTACTCACCATCCCCCTCTCATCACTGACAGCTGTCTTCCTCGCACTGGTCTTTAGCTACCGGGTTGGACATGGAGACTCCCCGTTTGAGAATCTCCGCGTGGGCCTCGCGACAGAAGGTTCATCAGATGCCTACTACGTGAATATGAACTCGAGTATCCTTCTATTTGTTACCTCATGGGCTAGTACCTTGGCTCCTATGCTGTCGGGCTTTCTCATCACGCTTGCGTCGTTTCCCATCGCGAGGAAGTACCTCCAAGACATACAACAAGGACGTTTTGAACGGCTGCCTACTCCATACCAACTGACGCTCATGCTCAAGTTCTTTGACGGGGGCACTCTTGGAGCAACCTGGAGCTGGATTGTTTACCTCGTCTCGTGGAAAAAGAAGCGGCAGCCTCAGACTTCCACGCTGTTCTCAGCCGCTTCTGTGGCTTTGCTAGCGACATTACTTGGGTATGTACATAGACCTAATGCACGCACCTCCATCATTTGATCTGTACATTTCTGATAGGTCCCAAATCAGAGCGTTGGTTTCTTTGGCAGATACCTGGCTTCACTTAACTACGACGACAGTCTCCTTCACTCGCGCTACTGCCGCCACGAACAATACCGACTACAGCTTTGGCCTGACCCCTCAGTGCTTGAAAGGCAACAATTCGGTCGCAGCACAGGAAGATACTGGCCTATGTAGCGTCTCGATGGCTGTCACAGGCCAGTTCCTCGCAAATGCAACCGTCAGTCTCGGCGTGCTAAACAACGTCTCTGATTTTGCGACCGTGTACACCTACGACAACAACGGCACGATGTACAGCTACCTAGGAATACCAGAGGGCACGGCCTCGGTGACCCACCGGGATTACGAAGCTCAAACATATGGTGCTGCGACACAGTGCGAGATGTTCTCCAAAAGATGCAACCTGACCGAAGTGACGACCTCTCTCCGATACAATTGCTCGAGTGCCTTTGCCGGCTTCATCGACTCCACCGAATTGATCACAGGCTTTTTTACAGACTCCAGCATGACAACTGACATAGAAGACAATGAGACTTCCAACTATGGCACAGAAAACCCATTTTACTACGTGATCGCCGGCGTGCTAAGTACCTCTGGGGGGACCGTCCCCAACTCGACAGACTTTGTGCAGAATGAGTCGGGCGTGTATGGCTACGTCCTTGGCTGCAACACCACGATTTACGACATCGTGTACGACCGAGTCAACAACTCCGTGACCCGCTTCGTACCCACCGATAGCAACACCTCGGTATCCAACATCTGGCAGACGAGTATCGCGCAGACAGTCGACTGGGAACCGTCCATCGAGCTGGAGATCGGAGCCGCGGCGTTCAGCCAGACAGGCCAGGAGTTCGCAGACAAGATTGCACAGTCATTCAGCAAGGTAATCTTGGCCCTTGGAGCAGACGGGGTTGAATCGCGCCCAGCACTAGCAGCGCAGCAGAGGGAGACTTCCCTGGTATCGAGGGTTCCCATGGCGCCACTCTTCACCTTGGTTGCCGTGAACTTCTTGTACGTCATCGTGGGCTTGATTTTTGCGGGAATCGCTATCAGAACCGCCCGAGGAGCAGTCCCTGATGTTCATGCTCGGCTTGGAATCTCAGGTCTTGTAGCAGATCGATTTGAGGATCCCGGATCGCGCAAGGAGGTCCATTCTGTTGATGAAATGTTCGAGGAGTATGCTGGACATCCGAGCCGACGGGTGGCTGTGGAGCCGGAAACTGAGGATGGGGTATACGTTTTCAAGAATTGGGATACATCTAGATCGAGTTCGGTGGATGTGAGGGAAGGTTCTGTGGCGGTTGAGAGATCTAGGCTGATTAGTGGTGAGAGTGCTTGATGATGTAATTATCTGCTATAGACATAGACCATCTGAGTAGAGTGGCAATAATAACTTATTAGCTGACTTTATTCCCATCGGTCTTTCCCCGGTTCGCATTCACTAGACAACAAATCCAGGGTCAGTTCCATAAGTCCAATCTCCATCGCTACAAGATATCAAACCCCCCAAAATGCGTCCTAAATGACTCTACTACTATCGGCTATACCCGTCTACCCGATACCTGTCGATTCTTTCCAGATGATTGGTGCTCTCGGTTATTCGACCACCGGAAGGAGCTCCACGGCGCATCTTTTGGCCCCTAACCCCCAGGACTCAGCGAATCATAACAGTTTAGAATCCGTCAGGATCACACCAAGCCTCATCGATCAGCCTATCGTCTGAGGCTCAGCCGCTTTCTCGAATTCATGGCAGCTGAACGCTTCCCTGGTCTATGATAGCACTCTTCTTTGATTTTCCTTCCCAGGAATGCCCATTTAGCGGTCAATGTGTGACTTTGTGGAGACACGTCGAAAGTAGGGGTCCTGCAAGGCTGAGGCTATAAGCTGGGACCTCGTATTCTGGTGGGATGATATTGGAGAGAAGCGGGTAGTAGGATATGTAAAATTAGCTGATAGAGGGAGTGTGTTAATGTTCCTGGTATAGTGAGGTTGTGGAACAATGTTTCAGTGGCCACTGCTATGGGTTATGTCTCAGAGCAGAGTTTTTCTTTACCCATCGCGAGTGTCTTAAAAATGCTTAAACGTGCTTATCGGTGTGAAGCAGTTACACCTCAGAGAGTATCATTTTTGGCCTGATTTACTACGTTGAGACCTTGCCATCTACAGTTTGACGGTTGTAAGGGAGTATCTCTGGTATGTGGGGATCTCAGTGAGTTGTACAAATCTGGTTCTCACGTGGGCCTGGTTCCTTTTTGAGTGGTCCCACATACCAGACTTTCCCAAAACGGAAGAACCAAACAAACTCTGCTAGCTCAAACAGGAAGGCATAAGCTATTTTGAGAACCGTTGAAAAAACTTTGTCGATGTTGTTTCTAGAACAACCATGCAATGCATACTGTACAACATATGCACTCATCAGTGCGGGACGATCTACAGAGGGTATGAAAGAGACGATGAGTGAGTGATTGTCGCTAGGCCATCCCAAGTCAGGTATCGGCCAAGGGGTGCCAGCCTCAATTGGATAATAATACATGGCAAATTGGGTAGGCCAGGCGCCAAAACATCAAAAGGGCAGAGACGTAGGATTCAGAGTACATGTTCATTGATGCGTTCAGTGGATTTTATGGGCGACGAGCCATGCGAAACGTAGTATGGCAAACCAGTTAAAAAATGCTATGGCAACAGACATGCAAACTTTGTCGAGGACGATGACAGAGGTATAAGAGAACCGAACCCACTAAAACTCCAGAGACCGGATAGAAAAGAGAAACCGAAAGAAGGCCGATAGAAAGCAACGGAGCAAGAGAGAAAGAGCTGGAGGTCGGGGTGGGAGGAGGAAATTGGGAGAGAAGTAGAGCTAGAGAGGTAGGGAGAGAGAGAGAGAGAGAGAGGAAGGAAGAATAGGTCCAGCCCTGGTAGCACAATTTCGAGAATGGTTGCCGATGATGCTGCAGATCATCCGAGGTCATGCATCATTCCAGTCTCGTACCGCCGCGGCTTCTTTGGCATCTCGCTTTTTGTTGCGCCAAAGGAAATAGCAGCATACAGAGACTGCGATTAGGAAGAATCTAGGGACCGTTGTTAGCATGTCCAAGGTCGCAGGCGAAGAAGCCACGCAGTACTCACATGCCAACGATGATACCTGGCACGCCGCTCTTGAGGAAGTTACTGACGGGCTTCTCGCCAGACGAGGAATCCGAGTCGTCGCGAGCCAACAGAGGCATCGCAATAGCGACTGCTCGCCGGGATAGAGAGAAGGCTTGGGATGATTCCATTGGGGGGACCTGATATGCAAGTTCCGGGGAACGGGCAGAGCCGTAGGGAAGAGACGGGGAAGGGGAAAGATAAAAAAGGGGACGCGAGGGTCGCGTTCTGAATCGAACCTGCTCTCTGGCGCCCTCAAAAGGGGATAAGACATTGCCAGGACTAGTGGCTTCAGCACGGACCAGGAGGGGGGAGTGAATGTGGAATGCTGTTTGGTTAATTCACGGCCTGGCGCCCCTGGGCGGTTTGAGATTGTTGCCGGGAATAGTTTCACCCCTTTCCAACTGTCCATTCCCCACTGACCCATTCTCGAAAACCTTTTAAGGTGTCTTTGCGGTTTCGAGCTGTAGCAGAGTTAGATAGTGAACCTGGGGGGCGATCAACAGGGCGCAGCCTCTTGCTCTGAATCAGTTGTTCGAGGTTGAGGCTGGCAGTCTCAATCCTCCATTAGGGTGTCTGGAACCATTTTTGTTCCATTTTTGGGCTTTGCCCCTGACTATTTCCCGATTAGGCAACTGTGTTTCACCTTGAGTTGGGCACCTGACTGCCTGAGGCATGAAGCGGCTTATATGTACGTTGGAGCTAACCGCATCTGGACAGTCCAGTCATGTGAACCCAAGTCATTTGATTGGAGTGATTATTATATTATTATATAATGGGAGAGGGATGGTAACAGAACTTAGAGTACACAGAGGGGGAATGGCCTGCACAATGAATGAAGCTCGTAGAAAATTAACTACTATCTGACGGATGGGGATTTTTGGACCCCCTGCCTTCTACCTTCTTCCCTATGCTCATCTCGATCTGTAGAATCTGGCTTGGCTCAGATTCGATCGCCACTTCCGATCATGACTATGGCTGATCGGACAACCCTGGCAGTGGATTCATGCAGGGACAGCATACACCCTAGTTAGTCTTCTACGAGGACATATGGACAGACAAGGTACGTAGCTGCCTGAGCTGCTAAGTTGGTGTATGAGGTAGACTGCAAATGCCATGGCTGGCCTGGTACATATGGACGGCTCCTGCGCTTGGACCATTAATCATTCAGCGGAAGTGCGCTTTATCATCAGATTGCAATTTGTTTTGACAATATACTGATACACTGACTTTGGACTTCAGTACCACTACGGTTACTTTTGGGGTCAGCTCGTGAGATAGTCCCGTGGTGGCCTAGAAATTGGAGTCGATGCCACTCCCTACACCAAAATAGTGTACATTTGCAGAACTTTCTTACTCAAAAAGGCACACTGAAGCTAGCTACTTAACGAATTGAACACTATCTTCGAGAAGCGTGGGCTCTCTGACACGGGATGCTTTCTCCCCCCACCTTCGCATTGCCCCGCTCCGAGAATGAGGGCTCCGTGGGTCTGGCCTCATCTGCCTGCCGTCCCCTTGATATATCTACACTACGACCGATTAGTTTGACAGCTCTAAAAGTTGCTTTCCTACCTACTTACTTAAGTGTCATGGTAAGATTAGTGGGCCATATAGAACCAACACTGCTTTTGAGGGATCGCATTGAAGGGTCTGGCATACTCAGAATGAAGCCGAAGCACGCACATATGGAAGATTTTTCCTTCCCCGCATCTGCAGACATTCTGCACCGAGATAGGCCAATTAACATTATCCGATGTTTTCCCGGTACTGAACTAGCTTGCACTGACACCAATCGACACGTCAATTGAGTCAATCCTCGGGTTGATACGAAACCGCCATTTGCCGTGATGAGTTCATGACTTTCCCGCATGCGGTCACCCGCCACCATAGCCTTCCCCGTATTCATATATATCCCTGCCAGAGCACCAAATATCCATCCACTTCTTGCATCAGACTCTTTCTGCTAGAATCCTAATATGGCACCATTTCCCACTATCGTCTTCGTACCGGGCGCATGGCACAGCCCGGAATGTTATCGCAGAGTGATCGACCAACTCGAGGCTGCGGGGTATGAGACGGACCTCATTCATCTTCCATCCGTGGGGCCAACCCAGCACTTGCCAGACTTCTCTGCCGATGTGGCCCAAATACGAAGCCATCTAGAACGTCTAGTCGAAGCCGGCAAGAAGGTCGTGCTTGTGGTACACTCTTACGGAGGAGTGCCTTCAAGCGAAGCCGTCAAAGGGCTTGACTGCGGGAGCCGGCAGAGTAACGGCCAAGAAGGAGGAGTCGCTCATATCTTCTTCTGCTGCTCGTTTATTATTCCTGAAGGGAAATCTCTCATCGGCGCCTTCGGGGGAAACGACTTGCCGTGGTTCAATGTCTCTGCGGATCGCCTGGAAATTAACCCAGACAGACCAGACGAGGTTTTCTACAATGACGTATCAGAAGAAGATGCTCAGGCGGCAGTCAAATCTTTACGTCCGCACAGTTATCAGGCCTTCCTCAGCCCATGCACATATGCTGCCTGGAAAGAAGTTCCCAGTACCTACCTCTACTGTGCCCAGGATAATGCTATCCACTTAGGGATCCAAAAAATGATGGTGGAGGATTGGGCGGCAGGTTATCCCATCCGCACAGAGTTCCTCGACGCCTCCCATAGTCCTTTCCTCTCGAAGCCAACTGAAGTAACAACGGCGATCAGAAGAGCAGCTGGGGAAGAGATCTGATCATGAAAAGGATATGTGACGTGGCCATATATACACCTGGTTCCATCCACGTGGACCGGAATACTAGTGTCACCAATGGCGGTTCCTCAATGTATATAGAGACTATTACAGGCTACACAAGTCCTCAATATTGATGATCTCGGAGATACTCCAAGGTGAAATGGCATGTCATGGCTTTTGATTGAGAATTTGGCAACATCCGACCAGGAACAAAAATTCACCTGCAATCGCTATTTTGATAATTCTCAGTGCCACTACTTTTCCTGAGTACTTCTTTCGGGCGCAGATAGCAGTGAATGCTGCGTTAACCCTAATGGATAGAAGTCAATGTTTGCCTCACATTTTGACCTTCTTGTCGGCGAATTTGCTGTTGTCAACCCACTGCCCAGGCTCTGTACCACCTTCCAACCGTATGTCTCTGTGAGGCCTTTGCTGCGTTGCACTCTCAGACCTTATCTCGGCTTATTTCCAAATACAGAGTCCGGCGTACTACCCGGAACCCTATGAGATGTTAAAATCCGGTTCCGAGCACCAGTGGCGCCCAACACCCCAACAACCCGGCTTGCCTGATGCTTACCTGCATGAAGAGAAGATTAGTTGACCGAGAACGAACTTGCACTTCTTCTCAGCACCATGCGCGCCCCACCACGAAGGATCATCATCCCCTCCGGCCCGGAAGGCGATGCCTCGCACAATGGCTCACGCTGAGCTCGGTGACCAGGAGGCGATTATCACTACTGAAAGTGAAGAACATGACCACCAGGACGATTACGAGGTTCACTGGGAGGAGGACGATCCGGCAAACCCACACGCTATGACATCGAAGCGTAAATGGATCATCGTGAGCCTAGTAAGTACCATGACGGTGTGCGTATGCGTCACTAGCTCGCTTTACACAGCGACGTACAATCAGATCATGGCCGAATTCAATTGCTCTCGGACTGTCGCAACTCTCGGACTCAGTTTCTACATTGCTGGACTGGGATGGGGACCTCTAGTGATGAGTCCTTTGTCGGAGTTCTACGGCAGAAGACCCATCTACATCGTTTCACTTCCTCTGTACATTGTCTTCCTCATACCCTGTGCTGCTGCCCACAATATCCAAACAATGCTAGTTGCGAGGTTCTTAGACGGACTCGCTGGGGCGGCATTTACCTCGGTCGCGGGGGCTACCGTGGGCGACATGTACACCAAAAGCACCCTGCATACTCCCATGCTGATATACACAGCTTCACCATTGTACGAAATTTGTTGTTTGTGGTTTCGTCTAGCGACTAATGGCTGTGCAGTACCGGGGCCAGCATAGGGCCTATCTTGGGCGGGCTGATAAACTCGTGGGCCTTATGGTAGGCGAAAGATTTCCCCTGAGGCTAAGAAAAACCCAGCAAATTGAGTCTAACGAGGGTACAGGAGGTGGTCATTTTACGTCTTGCTCATCTGGTCAAGTATCCAGTCTATCCTTGTTATTATCTTCGTCCCCGAGACATACGCGCCAGTGCTGCTCCGAAGCAGGGCTCGCAAATTGCGGCAGGAAACCGGGGACGATCGATGGAGGGCTGCGATCGAAAAAATGGATCGATCTGTTTTGAAGGTAGATATGATACCACATTTTTTCGTTGATAGGTGGCTATAACCACTAATTCGAACCAGACTGTTCTTCACTCACTGTATCGACCATTCATGCTACTTCTCCTGGAGCCGATGTGTCTCAATCTTTGCCTACTCTCGTCCATCGCCCTAGGAGTTCAGTATCTCTTCTTTGGGGCGTTCGGGGTGGTGTACGGCAACGCGTATAATTTCGGGTTATGGCAGTCGGGACTGGCATTCACTGGTCTTTTGGTGGGGATGATCATGGCGGTCGTGATTGATCCATGGTAGGTGATGAGCAACTCGATGTGAACGCGCACATTGTCTTGCATTATGATTAGGAATCTGGTACTAAGAGCGGAGCAGGTGCTGCAAGATTTACCCCTACTTCTCCCGAGGCCACAAAGAGGAAGGGAACACTGGGAACAATGAGCCGGAAAGTCGTCTACCCCCCGCTGTCATCGGAGCTCCGCTCATGACTATCGGGTTATTCTGGTTTGGATGGACAGCGTGAGTACATTGTCTCACCCCTAAGACGTGGCAAATGACTGAAAGACAACAGCTTCCCTTCAATCCATTGGATTGTGCCTATCCTTGGAAGCGCCGTATTTGGAGCTGGGTAAGTCGACACTGTCTCGGAGACTGGATGCCTGATGGCGCTCTCACTGACACATTGGCTAGAATGATCTTCGTATTCCAAGGAGTCTTTACCTTTTTCGTGGACGCTTATCCACTGTACGCAGCCAGTGCGCTTGGTGCCAACAGCTTTACTAGGAGTACCTTTGCAGCTGCTTTTCCTCTCTTTGGCGTGGCGAGTAAGTCATCTCACTGTAATGGGTAAGCTTTTTGGCAGTCGCTGATAATTACATTACACTGCTAGTGTACCACAAGTTGGGTGATCAGTGGGCTACGTCCTTGCTTGCTTTCCTGAGCCTTGCTATGGCTCCGTTTCCGTAAGTCAAGTGCGGAAGGGATAATGCATATTGAATTAATAGCTTGATTACAGGTACATCTTCTTTAGATATGGAAAGAGGATTCGAAGCAGAAGTCGCTTTGCGACCTAAAAGTTACGGGAAGTGATTATTGGACTGTACCATATTAGTCTCGATGGGAATGCCAGATACCTTCTCACATGCGTACTAAAGCCAAGATCGATAAAGTGAGCTTGTGTGTCACCTTCATGATCTAGTCAGACAAAGAGGATGGTCTTAGAACAAAGTAAGAATTCATTCAATTCACCGAGATAAGGTGCCAATTTGAGAGGAAATGCAAGTTAAATTGAACTAAAAGACCGACGGAAGCCCGCGATCATAGTCTTTCAAAGCAACAAGTACTTTTCGTACAGAATCCTCTCCTAAACGGATTCCGATTTTATTTTTCCGGGCTCGAGTTATATCGTAAAAAGGTAAACACCGATAACAATCAATCAATCACAAGACAACCTCAATGTCTAGTGCTAGCCATAACGACAACTGGGTGACCAATATCGATACCTTGCTTGTGAGCTTTCAAAGCAGTCACTGCATCCAGCCGGTGAGGCAAAAGCTCATTCTCTATCTCCAGAGCACGTAGTCCAGCCTCAGCCGCTGTTAGGTGACCGAAAACGCGCCGTAGCGTACTCACGCGGTAGAAATAGAACTGCACGTTCGTGATTAGCTTGTTGTTTAAACTTACTAAGGTCTCAGAAGCCCTTGATGCGGAGTGGCAGTAAGCTTACCGGTCCGAGTCCCTTCTCCTGCTGAGTCGCGTATCCTTCAATCACCGAGTCTGGCTCACTCTGCACTTTCCAAGACATGGACAGGATTCTTCCGGTGAAACCTGCTGCATCTGCTAGCCGGAGCATGGTGTCGATTGGGATTCTGCCGCCCATGCTAGACAGGATGACGCCAGTCTCGGTGAGCAGATTGAAGGTCTTCGCCTGCAAGAGACAGACATAGTGAAGGTCTAGAAGAGCTGTAGACACGAACGAGGGAACCATTCCCGACACGTCTGAGCAATCAAAGTAGGTCGAGGAGGTTTGACCGTCCTGGAGATCAGCGTCATCCGGTAGGGGAATATTGGGGAGATTTCTAGAATGCTGTTCAGTATTCTTCAACTTCAGGATCGTGAGATTCGTGAGGGAAAGCTCACTCATATATCAGGTCAAAAGGCACCTGATCTTTAAGAGGCACTAAGCTATGACCAGACAGACCAGTAGCGTCTCTGGCAACCGCCCTCACCCGGCCGTCGACCTTTTCAGTGGCAGACATCAGGTTGATCTTGGCCTTGTCGACGACTTCATCATGGAGATCTGTCATGACGATGCTGCGGAGTTGAGCGAAGACATCCAGCGCTGCAATGGCGTCGGTACCTGAGCCAGTACCGATGGTTGCAAAGCGTTGCACTGGATTGTGTGTTGAAGCCTGGAGCGCCTGGAACGAGTTGAAGGCAGCAGTTACTGCCCAGTCGGCACGGGGGTTGTAGATCTATACGGTGGTGTTGGTACATGAACGAAGGATGAAGGGTAAAAGTGACTACATACCTTCGGCTGGTAGCTGAGATCTGAGAGGGAGATGCTAAACCTCCGGCTGACATGCTGGGGTCTGACACCGAAGAAAGCCTTGAAGTCAATGACGAAAGTGCTAGAAGAATCCGGGATTCCCCGTATCTTGAAGTCGATGTTGTTCGTGTTGTACGTGTCTTCTTGCACGAGAAATGTAGTCATTGTTGCAAATTTATTCTTCAATTTGGTCTAGTGGGGACTTCGACACATGAAGTATTCGTGCAGCCATCGAAGCTTTATAGGTATTCGGCATATCATCGCAGTACGCCTGATACTTAGGCCAATTGCCATTTGGGGAGCCGGTGGCAGCGTGTGAAGTAAAGATCAACGACAGCTTACTGCCACATTGAGTTAAAGTTATGCAGCGCCCCTTGCTCCGTTCACGGTAACCCCGTACGCCTGCACATATGACATGTTAGAACATGTCTATATGCCTACGCCGAGCCGGGAGACAGGCGTGCCAATTGTCGAATACGGGTAGCTCAGGCCTATGTCAGTGAAGAAGATCGGTACACGAAGGCAATTGTGTATATGTGGAAGTTGAAGCAGACTAGCCTTCTTACAGGTGTTTAACCCACATAATCTCCACTCATACATGGACCTTTGCCTGATGGATGCTATATAGGCTACGGGTATTATCCTGGGCATCTCCAAAGAGTATTGGCCAGGGTTTCTCGAACCTAGACTGGATGTATCAGAAGAGGAAACTTCCGTGCTTGCTACCATTGGATCAAGGTGCCAGATGACCCACAACCAGATTATGCTTGTTTACGGTTCTCGCCAGGAGTGCTCCGAGGCTTCAAGCGTAAGAATTTCGCCGAGACGCGAATGGCTTGCACAGCCATCACACAGAGAGATTTGTGTTCAATGATCCCGCAAATCTTGAGTTACCCAAGATCGACCCAATCAGCATACCAACAGGAAATGTAGACCACCTGACCAAGTCACCATGATTATAGCGTTGTGTGGTTTCTGGTTCGGTGAACTTATAACTTTAACTTAATTCTTTACAACGAAACTCTGCCTTAGGTATCGCTGATCGCTGAGTAACTGAACTTTGAGGTCAAGGTATCTTAGTGACTTCTACCTCAGAAGTGGAGGGCCTAAGCAGTACGGTTGCCAAGTTTGTGGAGCAGACACGACTACCCTCGTATAGAGCATCAAAACTAGGAGATAGAGGTGAACGGCTGACCTGCGTATATGCGGCAGTAAGATTGACTTATCTCACAAGAATGGGTTGGGCTTAGAAGCTAGATTTGGTGGTTCTTATCAGAGCCTGCGTGGAAGCCCACAATGTTCCTTCCGCTCACTAAGACAGCATACTACCAACATGAGACTGCAATTAGCCGGTCTCGGTACTAAAGGAAAACTGTCCATAATGAAGGCTCTACTCTGTGACAGTGACTCAAAATCTCCCTTACATGGGAGCGAGCGTGCCCTCCATATTGTAGAGCGGACACAAGCTCATCATAGAGGTGGAAGGGTGTGATCGGCCGAGAATCGTTATTTTATTTCTTTCTTTTAGTCGTCTTTTCCCCTCCTTTCTTTCTCCAATCTTTCGAAATTGAGTGGGTCAACGGAAGGCCATTCGCCAATTTGTTGGGCTAGACTTGCTTAGATTAGACCAGTTCGCAAGACTAAGAGAGATTCCAAGTCGGGAAGCTCGTTTCCGTAGGAGCCGAGAATGAGATGAAACAGACAATGATCAAGTCAGTCCAAACAGCTCATAACGAAGATAAATTAGCCCCAGTGATTAATGTAAGAGCATTGACACCATAAGCACTCAAGACCAAGAGGCTAATACATATAGGGTAGGTGCTTCTACGTCAGCTTTAGAGCGTTGAGTTGTGCCTCTTACTTGGCAAATTTCCGATCGACCTCTGCGGCGCAAGGCTGAATGCTCTCTGGACGGGACCCTCGGAGAGTCGGAAGAACTGAAAGCAAGCACGAGCCCCTGAATCTCCACTCCAGCTGACTTTTTGCTTGGCGATACGCGCCGTTCATGAAGTTAGTGACGCGGACCCCGGCTAGGCTGGAGGTGGTAGTGTGGATGCTCCTCGAATGAGAGAAGCTTTGCGGCGACACGCATCTCCACTGTGCAGCCGCCATTGCGCACTACTTTGATACTAATTATACTAATTATACTAAAGGGTTCGTAGTCGGAATTGGTCTGTTGGGGCCATATTTGTATTGTATTGTTACCCAATGTTACAGGCAGAAGCCTCATTCATCTCAACTACTAACCATCCATCTAAATTTATTTTAACTTTGTTCGCCATCTGGTAGGGCAGAAAGTTTGAGCCTGTTGGCGCAAGCCACGTCAGATACAAGTAGCTAGATTGAGAGAGAGATCTCACTTCAATAAAAAGCTAACAAAACAATGATTTTCTTGCAGTTGGCATCGTCGTCACAAGAATGCACTGCCGAGACAACACAGCCCTGAGTGGTGCGATTCTCGATCTGACAAGTTCTGACCAGTAGGTATCAAGTTGGTATCATTGTTTACAGCCGCCGCTGACAGTCAACATTTGCGGAGAAGGATTCAGGACCCGTCAGGGAAGTTCACAATGTAGATCCAGCACCCATGCTAATGATGCTATAATGTTAGCGTGGGCGTCAAGGCTTTGCTTTCTTTTTAAAAGACCGATACTCCCGAATCAATACTGACAACCCGTTTGTTTCATCTTGTCTGCGCGAATCTTCAATTCTTCTGATGCCTGAGCCAGGATGACATTCGGACGCCCGAGAACATGGCGAAGGCTTTTGCTAATCCTTGGGGCCTCAGCTATTCTCTTCCTTCTTCTCAGCGATGAGAAACCACGGTGGTTAGCGCCTCGTGCCCATAGCTCGTGCACTGGGTTCGACCTTGCATCAGTATCCGAAGACCTCCACTCGCGCATGAAGGCTGAAAGCGACTACACCCCGGTCGAGATCCATCAATTCGTGTGCGGCATTATCAACCATAACATGACTGCGACAGCTCACCTTGAGTGTCCCGCGACAATCAGCCAGCGTTACCATACACTGATTCCGGTCGACGGAAAGCACCCGAAAATCCAATACTTCTTTGCCCTCAACCTTTACCAAGTGATTCATATTATTCTCCCTCTGATGGGGAGCATTCTGGAGGCTATTCGATATCTGGGGCCGGAACACTGCGCTTTGTCGATCGTGGAGGGTCGGTCAACAGATGGAACATATGAGATCCTGTCTCGTTTGAAGCCGGAGCTGGATGCTATGGGGGTGCGATACTACTTCTCCCGAAGCCCGATAAATCCGCTCGGGCCCGGGGAAAATCGCATCAAGGATCTGTCTGAACTTCGAAATATGGCCCTTGAACCCCTGATCACAGGAGCCAGACAGAAGGGCAGTCCCTTTGGTCACGATCCCATGATCATATTTATCAACGACATCGGTATCTGCGCTGAGGACATACTAGAGTTAGTGTACCAGCAAAAAGTGCAAGATGCGACAATGACATGCGCATTTGACTGGAGAGAGGAAGGAGTCATTCATGATGTTTGGGTATCCCGAGACCTCTCTGGAGATCTCTTCTTTGACATTTCATCTGATGGGCGGATATGGGACTCGCATAACCTTTTCTCTCATCATGGTCCCACCCGTGAGCGCTTTTTTAAGTATCTTCCCGTGCAGGTCTATAGCTGCTGGGGTGGAATGGTTACCTTAGACAGTGGCCCATTCATTGACGGGCACGTGGAATTCCGGTATTCAGAGGAGGGTGAGTGCTATATGGGGGAGCCTACACTGCTGGCACAAGATCTCTGGCGCCTGGGTCTTGGGAAAGTGCTTGCTATTCCCACTGTGAATGTTGCATATGAGTATCGCTGGTCATTGAGGGCCAAGGAGGAGAAGGGTTACGTTCATACGATATTGGAAGGGCGATATTCCCCTCATGATGAGCTCGTCCATTGGCAGAAAGAGCCACCAAAGCAGATCAAATGCATGCCAGCCTGGGACGACCAGTCCTGGGTAGACGCTGTTTAATCATTCCGAGCCATTTTCGTAGTGTGGATTTAATATATCGTGATGTGCATTCACCAGAGAATAATGGGTTATTTGCTGCGGGCAGACAGGCAGAACGAGGCAGTGCTTCCACCCGACTGTTCGGTCGCGTGTACGTGGCCTGCGATGAACCCTGCCTGGCGCACCTGCGGATAGTTATTAAAGGTATCTCGTTGATTGCGATGGCTTTCCCAGCCAATAGCTGATCGTTTGAAAGCGGGTGAATGCAGGGATAACCTCACGATCAGGGCCCGGTTGGAGCTAATCCTGCGCCGTTGCTGACTAGCGCTGACACGCTCGCTGTGTTCTCAACCTGACTGCTCTAGCTGAATTTCCCCTCCATGTGATGCTGCTGCCCGGATGCATGTCCCAAGTCTCCGTTGCACCGGAATCCATTAACGCAATGGAGGGTGGCTCGTTCCGAAGCTCAGCCTATCTCGGCCCTGCGGCCAAATTCGCAATTCATCCCTGGAGGCGGGGTTGCTGCGCCGCATGGGCCTACTTTCGTCCTTTGTTCGGAGATGAGCCGGGCCTTAAATGTCTCGAGGCCGTCTTGCAATCTGTTCGTCCACTTTTCTTCGCCGTCCGCTTGGCAGACTGCAGCCTTCCTCATGGCGCCTCAGCATCACTACACGCTGGCGGATCAAGGAGAACCGGAAGTAGAGGTAGTATCGGAGAGCAATACAAACTCAACTGGCAATGCACACGCAGAGGCTACTGTACCCCAAAATGAAAAAGGATTTTCCGATGAACCTCCAGCAACCCCTTCGTCGGTCGCATCCACGCTCGAAAAGGGCACTACCAGCACGTCCCACTGGACCATTGGGTGGATGACACCAAGCTCCATCATTACTTGCTTTCTCTTAGGTAGGCTTTCCTTATGTAGAGGACGAGGTGCCTTTTTATGTCGGCGCCGTTTCTTTACCAAAAATGGAAGCTTTATTGACTGTGCGTTTCAGCGGCCTCTGTGGCCTCCATGCATCTCGGTCTCTTTCATTGGCTGGACCAGCGTGAAGTCGAAAAGACCATCAAGCAGCCATACGTGACAGCCCTATCTGTTGTATTCGTGAATGGGTTCCGGACCTTTCTGGCCGCCGCGTTGGGAATGTCTTTCATTCAGATGCTGTGGAAGGACCTGCGCGCGCGCCCGATGCGCATCGGCGACATTGACGCCTTCCTCTCAGTGCTGACGAACCCCCTCTACCTCGGAAATGTGCAGCTCCTAACGGTGGCTCCTATCCCGTTTATTTGCGCCTTAATATGTTGGTGTATTCCCATCGCCATGATCTTCCCAGCGGGTGCCCTGACCGTCGAGTCCAAGTCGTTCCATACCTTGGCCAACCAATCGGTTCCGACATTTGACCCAGCCTTCATTGGAAATGGCACTTTTGCTGGCATGATGACCGAAGCACTGTGGCAGCCCAATTCTTACGATGTCTATAGGTTAGACTGAACGTGATTATTGATTGCACTGTGGACAGAGGCCCTAACGACTTCAATAGTGGACCTAGTTATAAGCTTACCCGCGTCGCAAGACAGGCCATGATGGCGGGGCATTACCTTCCAGCTTCGTCTCCGTGTGCTTCCGATTGCTCCTACAGTATTAGCATACCGGGCCCCAGCTTCGAGTGCCGCAACTATTCCTCTCCAGATCTCTACAACTGGGTCAATCAGACCTACCCTCAGACGAACATGAGAGGGTATCTTTACATCGCATCGCAAGACAGTGCTGCTCGCACAAACCACTCAGAATCCTTCTTTGACTTCGGCCTGCGCTGGAAGAGCGACAATGAATACGACAACCTCACCTGCCGAGCATTCGAGGCGACCTACAATCTGCACATCACTTACACGGGGAGCCAACAATACGTCACGGCGGATGTTAACCCGATCCGCCAGCTAAACAGCTCGTATATGTACGACGACGGCGGCGTATCTCCTCGGACTGGGACTCTGGACTCGCAAATCAATGCGACCACGACGGGAGACACCGGAGGTAACGTAATCGACATCTTTCGTCGGGCGAATCTGGCCGCTATCCAGGATTCACTGGTACTGGCACTTTCAGGATACATTGACATGCTCGGTGAGTACTCCTTCATGCAAGTAATAGATTAACATCAATAGAGGCTCACCAAATGTAGTCATCCACGGCCAGCCATCAGCCAACACTATCATCTCCCTGACAGACCTATACACAGGCCCATCGAACACACCAACCTTCAACATTACAGGCGCTTCAATGCAAGATCTGTTGAAAAACATTACAATCTCCCTCCTGACCATGAATCAAACGACCACCCAGGTTACCGTTACGAACAATCTAACGGTGAACGTATACTCCTTTAGCCGACCGGCACGCCTGATCGCCACGTACTTTGTGTGCCTTGGATCGGCGTTGGCGTTCATTCTCTTTGGCGGACACGCGCTGATCAGCAACGGTATTTCTGCTAGCATGACCGGCATGTTTCAGACATTGTGTACCACTCGAGCAAGTGCACGGCTAGACGATCTGGCGGCTAAGGGGTGCTTGGGAGGTCGAGAGAATGTTCCGGATGAATTGAGGAACTTGAAGGTCATGTTCGGGGAAATCCAAGGGAAGGATGGCGTGCGTATGGCTGGACTGGGTTCTGTGGATGAGGTTACTCCGTTGAAGAGGGGCTCGATATGAATTGATGATATAGTATACTCGGCGTAGTATCTCCGGGATGGACTATTGGTACATATTATGATTAATGTTTAATGTGACGAACGATATTACTGCACCATTAAAATGGGGTACTATTGAAACAAGGAGTGTGGTTGTTGCACATTATAGTTTAGTTACTCAGATCGGAATGTCCGCTTGATTTTATATATGTAAGACTTATTCTGTCATCCTCGATCAATACAACCATTGCCGAGAGCGCAGAATGCTATGCTATAGCGATGGGTTATTTCATATTCTGGGTTTTCTACCCAGGGTGAAATTCTCTGTGGCGAGGTACGAAAAACGAAATGGCCTCATGCAAGAATGAGGGGAAGTTGCATGTGCCTCACTGGCCAATGGAGACAACATCATAGAAGGTTCCACATATATTGGAGCCTTATATCACTTGCTCCGGAGAGAATTTTACCACGTACAATTCGGTCACATCCACTTAAAAATCTAAGCCTTGGGGAAACAGGGCTTAAAAACATGATACGCCTTTGTGATGCTATCTCGGAGACCTCGGGTTCATTCAGGGTGACATGGCCGCATCAGTAGCCAACAGCATCTCGACTTGCGAATGATCGACATCCGCCGGGCTTTTATGCATGATGGCTTGGACCTGTCTTTTTTCGCCTGGTAGACTAGCAGGATGCCCAAGGAATGGGCGGGGCAGAGAGGAAAAAGAGGGTGGGCAATACCTATAGCGAGATTCAAATTGAGTGCCTGGCTATTTGCGTATTATGAAGGCAGATATAAAGCCATCCAGGCTTCCCTCGGCACTCAAGACATGGAATAAAACCACTTACATCCTCAGTGACTGACTGAAGAGCTTCAAGCACTTACCCCGCCATTCTCTGCGTAAAGCAGACACTCATCATGACTATCTTCCGGAGCTCGGTAAAGGCCAGTGAGAGCGAACCTCAGTATGGCATCAAAGTGCTGTACGACTCCAACGAAGCGGAGGTAGAGTATGTGCTCACATACATTAGTAACTGATGTATGACTATATCGCTAACTTGCATTTCAGTATCGTCTTCGTCCACGGTCTCGGCGGAAGTCGCGACGCAACCTGGACGATCGACGATGTGTGCTGGCCCCAAGCCCTTCTTCCGCAGGACTTACCCAAGACCCGTATCATGACTTTTGGATATGATTCACGGGTGGTCAGCTTTACATCAGCTTTATCGCAGAACGGGATTGTGGGAAATGCCGAGGATCTTTGTGCTCAGCTATCGCGGTTCAGAGCCTCTTCGGTAAGAGGCAATACTACTTCTTCTGAGTATCGTAGCTAAGGATGTCAAATAGCCAGAGCGCCCGATAATTTTCGTAGCTCATAGCTTGGGCGGCTTGGTCTGCGCACAGGTTAGTTGACAACCCTTCATTTATTCCCAATTTTGGGGGGATTTAACGAGCCATCATAGGCTGTTGTGGCAGGCAACCGCAGTTCCCCCTCCGACAATACACAGATTATCAGCAAACACGTCCGAGGAATAGTCTTCCTGGGAACCCCATTCTGCGGTTCCGAAATTGCAAACTGGGTGTCTCGTCTCAACAAAGTAGCGGATTATATCTTCGAGAGCAGCAAAGCCAATATCTCGGACCTGAAAAGCAAATCGGACACACTGCAGCACCTGATCGAAGAGTTCGCGAACGTTTTGCGAAAACGCGACAACTCCGACGACAGTATCCTGACCACTTTCTTCTATGAGCAGTTGAAAACACAGGGAGTTATGGTAAATGAACTGCAGATCTTGGAAGTTTCAATAGTTAGGCTAACATGAGCAAAGGTGGTTGACCGCAATTCTGCCACTATCCCCGGTCGCGGAGACATGATATCCATCCAAGCCGATCATAAGAACATCTGCAAGTTCCGATCGAGGGAGGATGATGAAGGATACGGATTGGTGCTTGGTGCACTGAGGAAGATGATGGTCGAGGTACCCGTGAAGCAGAAGTCGAGTGTAAGAATCTGCTGCTTGACGTTCACTGCTACGCCTGCTAATTTGCATTCTAGAGCCCTGTCTTCAACTTCAACAATGATGGAGCTTCCATCATGAACCAGGCAGGCCAGCAGACTATCAATGGGGGAATGAACTTTGGGGCGTTTGCACGGTAGACGCGCGTACTTAAACACGGGCTCTTGGTGCTCTACCGCAATATGATACGAGATCGCAACATTTGTCGCTGAGTTATGATATCTTGTTCGTGTGGGATGAGACGGTAAATTAGAAGATGCTTGCATTTCATTCATCAAGAGTTCTGTATGCATCGATAGTAGACTTGTGTGCCTTCAGGGAACGATCGAAGATTGCTAAGAGCGAATATCCTTTATGATTTATGAAAATAGAGATAGCTGTTAAACCCCTCCTCTAAAGCAAATTCAGCTCCAACTTGTTCGCAAGGGGAATATGACCAAGCAATCTGGCGAGCTCCGAAGGACGGTGATTAGAACGGTTTCTCGCATTTTTGTCGGCCCCTCGCCGCAAGAGGATGCTGATAATATCAGCGTGTCCGCCAGATGCAGCGACATGAAGCACTGTGTGGCCCTGCGAATCCGCGGCCGAAACGTTTGCGCCGTTGTCCAGTAGATGCTCCACTTTCGCAGTCTCCCCTTTGGCGGCTGCTTCTAGGAGCTTCTGATCAAGATGAGACTGATATCAGAGATGATATATTAGTCTGTGATTATGAATTTGGGTGCTGGAAGGTATATTTGTCTACCTTATCCTCAGCGATATGCCGCGCGCCATCTGTGACTGGATATCAGTACTAGTGCAGTAATTAGAAGCTTGACCAAATGATATACCTTGATCATAGGTATAGAAAGTATTATGATAAATACTGCCATAAACAACTTGACTACCGGCCTGGTTATGAACCGTGTTGTCTTTGTTGTCAAAGTTATTTCCGTCACCCATCTCGTCTCAACAGGCACTGTAATCAGTCGAAGAAATTGATAATTCGCTTTGAACTCGTTACTGACAAAATTGTAAATGGAAAGGAATGAAGAGGTACAGAAAATTCGAAGTTAAGATGTGTCAAGCTGTTTGGCCTGACAGTTGCTGCCCTACAACTGCACCTCGTTGTCCAGCTCAACTAGCTCCACCGTTTCGTTGGGAATCATTTGACTTGAAGCTCAGTGGGGTCTGCAGGTATCGATATGCAAGAGTTGCAGGCGATGATAGTATTGGTCGGTTAGCATGGAAAGTCCTCCAGAGCAGGCTTTTCCCGCCGAATCCGAGGAGGGGCAGGGGGGGACGCAGCATGAGTGGCCCGACTAGAGTATCCTAAGTCGATGCAGGTACTTCTTGCTGAGGCACATACTGCGATAAATCATCCAGTGATGGCATCTTATATCTAGAATTTAAGACAGAAATACTAGTCTTCTTCAGCAGGCTAACTTCTAAATGCACTCTTACTAGCGTTCAGCGAAGAACCTTAGCTTCACTCGATCGGCGGATGATTGCCGCCTAGAACCAGTCAAACATGTCTCTCTCTGAGGCAACTACATTTACAACGCCACTCTTCTAGTCGGCATCTTTCGTCCCAACCCGAATCAAGTGTCAGCATTAAGTACTTATATAACCCATGAAATCCCTCTACCTAGATTTCCTTCCCTTCCCAACCATATTTCGTCTTCAATCCAGTTTGTTCGCAACCATGACACTCATTAAAATCACCGTCATCTCGGATCCAGTTTGCCCATGGGTATGTTACAATCCACCCATGACTTCTTATACCCATTTGAATCTAAACTTCCATATACAGTGCTATATCGGCTATCGCCGTTTAACCAAGGCCATCCGTCTATACCAGAAAACCTATCCCGATGGAAGCCAAGATCACATCCGCATCTCCTGGAAACCGTACTTTCTAGACCGCGATGCTCCAATGGAAAGTGTTCCCTACATAGGTCTGTCGCCTTACATCTTCCAAAATCGAGGCGAATCCTAATCAACTTACCCACAACAGAGCGAATGACCCAAAGACTCGGAGCTGATAAAGTTCCTGCCGCAAAAGCTCGGTTGGAGCGACTAGGTGTACAAGAAGGGATCCATTTCAAGTTCGAAGGACGATTCGGAAATAGTCTACGTGCGCATCAAGTGATGTCGTTGAGCGAGTTGGTTAGTCGGGAAGAAGAGAATTATGGACGTGGGGATCGCGATATCGCTACGGTTGTTGCCGAAGGCATCTTCCGGGCTCATTTCGAGGATGAGCTGGATATCGCTGATGTTGAAACCCTGGTGCGCATTGCCGTGTACGCTAGTGAGGGGTACTTGGAGGAAGCGAGAGTGCGGACCTGGCTTGAGCAGGGGCAGGGAGTGGAGGAGGTTGATGATATGGCGGCGAGGGCTCGTCGGGAGGGCGTTCACGGTGTGCCATACTTTCGGATTAGCGGAGGAGAGGATGTTGAAGGTGGGGCGTTGACTCTAAGTGGTGCCCAGGATGTCGATGAGTTCTTGAAAGCTCTCATTGCATATAAAACAGGAAAGGAACTGGAATCTGCGGACCAGGAGGCAGGTCAGGCCATGACTTCGTGTTGAGTTCATGAGATGCGTCAAGTGAATATGTACTATTACTGAGTCAAGGAGCTCATGCAACTATGTACAAGTTTGGTCTGGATACATTCTGCTTCATCGTCACTGTTATAACCCTGCTTCTCTGTTCACTTTCCCTGCGGAAGGTAAACGCTCATCTCAAACCCATTAGTGAAAGGCAACGTCATATTGCGGAAGCCATTCTCAGGCGATCTCAAGAACGACAGCAGATCCGCGTAGCCCTGAGCGCCGGAAACAGTGTTGTCAGTAAGAACCACCGCACCGTATCGAAGCCGAGGAAGAACGGTTTTGAGGGTAGGAAGTGCTAGTGGAGTCCAGACTATGGATCTGTCAGCATGTGAAGTGTCGGTCAAGAATCAGAGATCTCACTATCAAGAAGGAGTAGATCAATCTCCGGCAGCCCTTCCTTCAGGGTCTCAAGCAGATCACCTTCTCTGAGATCGATCTGTTTCTCCACAATCTCACCGCACTGATGCCAGTAGCCCCGCGCAATATCTGCCTTTGATTTCTCCTTCTCCGTCGCGATGACAGTGCCAGACTTGCCTGTCGCCGCGGTGGTCTTTGCGACAGCCAGAGCAAGGTAGATGGTGCTAACTCCAAAGCTAGTGCCTGCCTCTATGATATTGGTGGCGCCCATGGAGTTGATCAGCTGATAGGTAAACTGGCATTTGTCTTCGTCCAGCGCGATGAACTTGTCGAGCATGAGTTGATCGAATTCGGCTTGCGGGTTGGCGGCAGGGCCTTTGCCTTCCAGCTTGCCGAGAACAGCTGTCGAGATAAATTTGCCATTCTTGGAGATCAAGGCTTCCTGTTCCAAGGACTTTTTGTGAAGTTCGGAGAGGAGCTGTAGGACATGTTGCGGGGCATCGACGGGGTTGGGGGATGACATGGTGTGCTGTTATTAGATGTCAAGATGAATGCTACTTAACAGATGTATTAAATTCGAGCAGAAAGTAACTATAAGGTAGGATTTTTTTCAGGATTGCTGTAGCTTAAGGTAGATGGTAGATGAAATACGTTGCTTTGATCACGCCGGAAGAACAGGATGAGTGATGGACGTGGGGGAAGAGTGGGCTCTTGGCGTTCGGAGTAGCATCAACAGGGGCATGTTTTCTTCCGGATAGCATCGGAACGGCTTAGACGATGCAGAGACCAGTAACTACAGTGAGACTTTCAAGGGAACAGATGCCGGTAAATGGGACTTTAGCATCCAATGATGTGGTAATATAGCATCGTACACAGTCAGACTCTTCCAGGCCAAATCAAGGCTACAGCCGGCAATGGCACTTCTAAGCTTACGTCTACCTGTTCATCTCCCTTCATGGAATGATTTATCGGTACATATGTCACCAGAAATTCATACTTGACTTTTATTCTCTTTCAGCGTCTATGGTTGTTCTTGACTAAATGAAGTTGCCAGGTCCAGAAATTTTGGAAGATTGACTCCGCGGAGATTGAGTGTAGTTCTTGGCATTTCGGAGAAGGCGATTGAGTCATCTGGCGCCACAACAAGAGGAATGTAACATATCGGCTCTTGAAAACGGTAAATTCAAGATACTGACTCTATTTTCTAGCAGCATTCATGGATATAACTGCTGTCTTCGTAGGATCAGGTGGCGCCGGATGTGAGCTTTCCCCGTTAACACTGCATACAGAGAATCGGCCCTAGTTATGGAATTAACATGAGTCATCATGGCTTTGTCGCAAGACCTCAACGTTCCAGGCAAAATGACTATGACTTTTAAGTATCTGATTTACAAGTGTCACATCGCGAATGTACACGAGCAAAGAATGACAGTTTGTTAAGATCGAGAACCCCTCTATCATGCTAGCATGACCCATGCTCTATATTGCGAATAGGGTAAATCTACTCCCTAACCCACTCTATAACCCGTCTCAGCACTTCAAAGCCATCTGTTGGCCGTTCCAGCTTCGCCAATTGATCTTCTAGTTCCCAGTCCGAAAGATTGCCATTGTACACATCATCCTCCTCCAACAACATCTTCTTAGCCAGTTCGGTCTGGACTTCTGGATGCGCCTGGAACGACAACACAGTATTTTCTTGATTAACAAACATTTCATGATTTTCCGCCAGGTGAATAAAGCCTACTCCAGGTCGGGCCACCTCTCGTACATGAAACTCCGGTAACCTCGGGGGAGAATCATCAGCAGGGCGAACAACCAAAGGGCAGCCATCAAACAACGCACGTAGGTCTTAACACCTGATCGGGTAGAGAAAAACTTCATTCCAGCTTCGGTCAACTTCACATCTTCAAGGCCGGCCTATCATAGAAGATATGTCAGTTTGTGGGTGATGATGAGCTGGACGGGCTGCGACACATACAATGGGTCCCGTAGGCACTGCTCGTACTTCTCCGCCAAATGCTCTTGATATAGCTTGGTGGCCCCAGCAGATACCCAGGATCTTAGTCTTTGGTGACTCCCGCGCAGTCCTACGGAGAAAGTCCAAAACACCAAGGACCCAGGGCTCCGAGGATGAGGCATCGGCTTTCCCTCCACTCAAGACAATCAAGTCATACTCTTGAGGATTGGGGAAATTTCCTTCAAACACAGGATCGTACATATCGACCTTGGCATTTGGTGCAATAACATCAAAGGCATCCTGGTAAGACCCGCGGACATCGTTCCAGAACTCATTGCCAGGAGGTGTGTTGATGAGGACTGCGATGCGTAGTGGCGATTGATTGGCCATTGTGTTGGATATGCTGGTAGTTCCTGCTACACTAAATGGACGATATGAGCTTTCCAGGATGCTAGTCCTCGTCTACGCTAGCGAAAACTGGCGGATACTTATACTCTTTATGATTTACTTGCTGTCGTCTACGCCGTACCCGAAAAAACAGAGTCTTTTCTCTCCAGAGAGACAGTACATCGCACCCGCACACCTGTTATAGTAAGATCTCCTTCGCAGACCTGATTGGGTCACCAGAAATAGAGGCCGCCACGAAATACCGAGCCATGACTGACAGGGGCAGAGGCAACTGTTACCCCAACCGGGTGACCAAGAGCGATCGGATCTCTGGCCGAAAGTGGGTCTGGACCCACTAATTACCGCATCGGGTGCGCGAGAACGATGCCGAGCGGAAATTTGACATGGAAAAAGACATAGGACTAGAGTCACAATCGTTGGTCAAATTACATCCTTTGGATTATTATGTTTGAGACAGATAAGGCGAGAATCTTGAATCCTCCATAGTTGCTAGTGGCAAAGCAAGATAATTAGGCATCACATCAATATAAAGTTGATCCATTCCTCCCCAGTACCCTGCCTTCAGTCTTCCAACAATCTACACAGTATACTCTTCCTCCAGTCCATCAAACCATGTTCTTTGCCAGTGCACATGCCGAATCTGATGAGGAGGTGCTCCTCCAATTCATCAAGGAGAATCCTCTGGGTATGCTCATTACGGGCATTGACTCCTCCGCCCAAGACTTTCTCCAATGCACCCACGTCCCCTTCGTGCTAGACCACCCCAAGACCGAACAAAACCCGTCGTCCAATCCGCAACTACGTGCCCATATCGCTAAGCAGAACCCCCAAGCCAAAGCCATGCTCGAGCTTGCCAGTGGAGCACCACCGAGCATCCTTCCGCTCGAGCGCGATGTCCTGGTGGTATTCAACGGACGCCATGATCACTATGTGACCCCCAAATTCTACACTGAGACAAAGCCCGACACCGGCAAGGTTGTCCCGACGTGGAATTACTCTGCCGTACAAATCTACGGAAAACTCTCCCTGTTTTATGATTCCAGGACCTCAGAGGCGGGCGCCTTCTTGTCGAAACAAATGCATGATCTGTCAGAGCAATGCGAGCGACGAATCATGGGATTCACCGGAGGGGACCGACCGCAGCCGTGGAAGGTTGCCGACGCTCCCGAGCGATACATTGAATTGATGCAGAGGAATGTGGTAGGAATTCGGATCGAGATCACCAAGATCGAGGGCAAGTACAAGATGAGTCAGGAGATGAGGCCCGGCGACCGGGACGGCGTGGTTAAGGGTTTCGCGGCTATGGGAGGAGAGATTGGGAAGGCTGTTTCAGTTTTGGTTCAGGAACGAGGGGAGTTGATTTATAAGAAGAAGGCGCTAAAGTCTGCTTCGGTAGAATAGGACAGAATAAAAGGATATATCTTTTGTCGAGGCATTCATGTAGGCTAGTCACGTGCTGCGCTCGGACCGCCCACAAAGCACCTCTTCGCGTTGCTTTGTTTTGCTCTCTCCTAGATAGCTCAATTCAACTCACTCTTTTGCTTCCGTTCGTTCGTTTGTTCGTTTCGTTGCTTCCGTAGAGCGCTCCTCAAGATCTTTTTTGTACCGAATAGTTAAAATATGAAATAATCATTTCCTAATAAGGATTAGCGTTGGCATTTAACTCGAAGCACAATCACGTGCCCTCCATTAATAGTGACTCAACCCCCTCCCATCCGACAGACCGGATGGGTTTCTGCTGCTACTGACATCAGAGGTCGGATTAATGGAAGAGAAGACAATCTCTCTGATCCTATTTCTAACACATGTACAAGCCTGCGCCACCCAGACCCAAAAAGACAAACATCATCCGCTCTCGCAATGGCTGTCAGAGTTGCCGCAGCCGCAGAACCAAATGTGATGAGCGAAAGCCCACATGCGGGACCTGCGCGAGACTTGAGAAGATCTGTGAATATGCTAGGCCAGCTTTCAAATTTCAAATCGCGACAGTCGACGACCCAAAACCATCACCAAAGCAACTAGCATCCGCAACAACATCCAGTGTATCGTCAGAAGAGACAAGACCAATACAGGAGACAAGCCCAATACCGACTGAAGACCAGACATTGGCTGTCCGAGCTGCAGAAGATGTCACCTCCATCGGAAGCCATAGCATCATCCAGTCATTGCAAATGACGGACCGCGATATCTTTTATACCACCTACTGGGAGGGCTCTTGCTTACCAGCCTTGCACCCGATATTCCATTTTGCCACTTCATTGGCCGCTGACCATCCCATTCTCAACGACGCCCTTTTGGCCCTTTCATCGTGCAATATCGGGCGCCTTCATGCTGAGCGCAGAACACCCTCGGCCGGGACGATGTGTTCAATGAGTCCTAGTCTCATACACCAGACACGGAGTCATCTATACTACTCGTCCGCAATCCAGAAGTTGGCCATCATGCAATCACAAGACTACCAAAGGAACTCAGTCACAATATTAACTGTTCTTGTTCTGTTCGCTCATCTGGAGCAAGCCATGGGCAACTTCCAGGGCTTTTACACTCACGTCCGGGGGATGATGAATCTTCTTGAATGGCATGAAGACGTCAAAGACGCAGCCACCAAGTCGCTGCTTGCTTCGTGGATGCAAATCCGCTATGTTGTATGGTGGGCTCGAGCCTATTTCAGTTCATTGGAAGTTTGTCAGCATCTTCCATCGATACCCTTGCCAGCCTCTCTGTTAGACGTACCTCAGACACTACATGAGCGACGTGTGAAAGTCCTTAGCATCATGTGTGAATCACACCGATTGAACTTCAGTGCCGCACTGCAGCAGTTTCGGAATTTTCGGTCAGGCGACATTAGTGATTCCGATTTCGACGAATGCTATGCATATTGCACTACTCTATTGCACGAAGAAGCGGCAAAGCTGGATGCGTGGGTGTTGCAACTTCCGCCATCCGAGCAGCCAATATACGAGCTCAACGACACAGACAGCACTACAATCCGCTTCCAGTCCCACGATGCCGCGCTGAACTATGCATACTACGTAGTTGCACGAGCCATGCAGTGCACGGGTGTTCTGCGACTCCTTTATGATCGCGAATCCGCCCTTCCCGGACGGGAGTGTAATGAAGAGGAATATTGGGTTCAGACATTAGTCCGGATTGCACAGTGGAGCGATATGCAGACGTCCATTACCAAAAATAGCTACACTATCGGGTTCTCGGGCTTACTCTTGGCGGGTATTCTCCGATGCCAGAGTCTATCAGTAGGCTTGGAGATCCAAGATTGGTTGCAGACGCTCATCAACCTGCAACCAACCGAAGAGGGGGCATTTCCTATCTATCAAACCTTCAACGTGGTCAAGATCATCAATCAACAGAGGGCCCTCGGCCGTGATGTTTTCGCTGTCACTCAGCCAGTGGATGACGGCGGTGGAACACCCAAGCTTACTGGGTACAACAGCCAGTCGATTACAAGCCTTCTCTTCCATGGGAAAGACCATAATCTCGATTGTCTTTTCCAAGATTGCATCTCCCTGAATGTCTGATTCACTCGACAGTGGAATAACCCTTTCCGACCGGGCACATTTAGTCGCATGTTGTACGCAGCATTGCTGGAGTATGCATCCTCCCTGACAGACGGTCAGGTGGTTAAGCGAAGCACATCCAAAGAGTGCCCTGTCGGCTCCATCAGAAGAGAATCGACGCTTTCGGGTAGATCCTTGTACAACTAATATGCAGGCCACAAGGAGATTGCCTGTAAACTGGCCTTCGAATTCCCTCCAGACGAAATTCCAACAGTGTCAATGTAGAACGACAGCCGCCTTGAGCCGGTTTGGGCCGTGAGGAGGCATTATCCTACATCCATCCCGCCGCATTAATCCCACCACTCAATGACCGGCCCGGGCCACTGATTGAGACGGGTTTCTAAACTCACCCGGACAGTGCTGGATAATCACGCAACGGAGTTTTCCGAGCTATCCACACTTAAGACCCCTAGTCATCCTCTGCTGGCGTTGTCCGAAACAGACTTGCTTCTGGTCACAGAGATCTGCATCGCCAAACCCGAGGAATAACCCGCACGAATCTGCAATCGCAGTTAAGTCAAATGCTCGTGGACGCGACGAAGACAGGCACCCCGCCTGCGGTCTGTATGTGTTTCATGTGATGTATGGATTGGATGGGGACCCGATACTCGGTTTCTTCCACTATGGAGGAAATGGATGGGGATTGTTTCCGGCGGCAGCAGGCCAGCGGGAAATCACGTCCTTCACTACTTGCTACTACTGAGTAACGCCGTTCTGATATTCATTTACCCGGTCGATGTACGAACTACGCCCCTGAGCTTCAGTAGGTGAAGGGATGGAAATGTGTTAATTAGAATAGTCGCGGGTGTCTCGAGCTTCCGATCCATTCAAGATGTTCAAGCATCACTATCGTGAAACTTGTCTAACCTTAGCAATTTCTTCGCATTCTCCCGACCAATGGCATAATAATTGTCAACACCTCCAACAGCCTCAACAATAGCGTCCTTATCATGATCCCACCAGTTACAGCCACTCTCGGTTGTTTCATACGGGTAGTCAACGCTAAAAAGGACCCGGTCAGCACCAATCTCATTGACCACGTACTTCAAAGTCGGAGTGGAGAAGTGACCACTAGTAGTAAGCCAGATATTATGCTTAAAATAATGGTAGAGGCTCTTCTGTGCCATGACCCGACCCTCCTCATTCGCAATTGGCTTCTTGACGTCCCGGAACCAATGGTCAATCCGCCAGAAATCGAACGGAATGTGCTCTCCCAGATGACCAATGATGATTTTGAGTTTTGGAAAGCGATCAAAGACTCCGTTGGAGATGATTCCCAGCGTATGTAAACTGACATCGTTGGCAAACGATAGCGGGGGACCGATAAGCGCAGGTCGTTGAGCATAGAGTTTCTCGAGGATGACCCCGGTCGGAGCAGCAGGATGGATATACAAGGGGACGTCCAGCTCCACAAGGGCTTTCCAGAACTCATCATATTCCGGCTGGTCGTAAAACAGGTACGTCTCGCTGTCTTGACCTGCATGCTGGAAGCTGCACAGCAACGCGCCGTGAAATCCTAGTTCCTGAACGCAGCGGCGCAACTCATTGGCGGCTTGAGCTGGATCATGCATTGAGAGGCAAGCAAAGGCGCCCAGACGGTCCCGATGGTTTTTGATTTGTTCTGCTGCCCAGTTGTTGGTCTCGGTGGCCACTTGTTCGGCTTCGGCTTTGTCGGCGATGCCCTGGATGCCGGGGACGGTGAGAGAGATAATGGTGTATCCGATGCCGTGTGCGTCGGCTAGCTTCAGTCGTTCTTGATTGATGTCGTTGATTTGACGCATGTAGCGAGGACGGTCATTGGGAGCAATATAGAGACTGGCCTCATGCTTGGACTTTTCTTGCATGTTAGGCCGCTCGTAGGCTTCTTCGAGGACGACTTTGCCTAACATATTGGCGGCTGGGCGGTGATTGTTGAGAATCGTGTATGCTCCTTTATCTCTGTCCGGTCATGGCTGGACCTGAATGTTTACTCAGTCTCAAAGTTCGTCGTACTCTATCAAGCCGCTGTGTACGTTTTACAGTCTGATATTCAAAGCAGTGATGGAAGAAGCAGTTATGCAGCGAATTGATGAAGTCATCTTTGTGGGTCTGTCCCTGACTTCATATGACATGATCATCATCATGTTCGTCTGGAAAATCGAAATCTACAACATAATCAATTGAGACATATCTTCTGAAGTACTCTGTCAGAATCATGAGTTACATTTTCTCATTCGCAACAGAAGAGACTGCGGGTGGCTAAGTATCAGAATTGTCCTGATCTCACCCCTTCCATCGAGGCCTACTGGAGCAATATACACCGTATATCCTAAAATGGCTACTTCCCACTGATTGAAATTACACTTTATCTTTTGCGTCTGCGAGAGAATTCTGAAGTGGCAATACATAGGATGATCCACTTGACGAGGCCAGAACAAGATAGGGCTGAAGTCCGACTTGGTCTATCGATGTGGGTCATAATTTGCGGGAGAGCGTTATCAGTACGCATCAAGTGATTGGATGGAATACAATAATTCTAATTTTCGATGAATGACAATTGATAAGGATCTCCGAAAGGATCGATTATTTGGAGAAAAGAAAGCATATATCTCCCTATGCTCCCAAGGTTGTATACAATGTTTGATATCGCTTGGGTTTGCTCACTTCCAAAGTATGGACACGGTTGTGCTTTTGTCAGTCACATAAAAGTCGTTCTCACGCTTCTTATCCATAAGTTGCATGCTGCCGCTGAGCTGCTGCAACCCAATCTCGGAGCTATATAGCGCTGATTAGTCCATAGCCCTGCAAGCCGCTTAGTTATCTGCCAGGTGGACTACGTATTGCGTCATCTAAGATAAGCGCCCAATTTTCTACCCTGACCATAGCGGATGGTAATATATGCAACTATTAACACGAAATTTGAGTTCTGATTTTGGCTATAATGACCGTTTCCGTTCATTGGGAATCTTATCAAGTTCGAGAGGTTTTTGGTAAAAAGTATGAGAAGTACTGGATACTATTAACTGTCTACAAGACCAAAGAAGATATAGATATAGAGCACCTACTGATCTATTGCACGTTGTAACCGCTTTGGTATGGATCTAATTATAGGAGCACTTTCTATGTCGTTATGACACATATCAATCTAGTCAGTGCCATTGGGCAATTTCCAAGAAGTCAGTTGACGTGCGTGCACCTATCATGCAAGTACCCCACATCTAGTCATAAATAAGAAGCCGAATGTCCCGGTGTCAATCACCTCATCAACATTAACCTTCAGAGAAAAATAACACCATTGGATACATCTTCAATTGATCTCAAAGTTCCTAAATCAATCGCTACAATGACAAGAATAACGACCTCCAAGCTCAAGATTCTTATGATCCATGGTAACTATCCTGACTCTAAGCACGGATGTCATTACCACCACTGACCATAATTACGCTCGACAGGTTATACTGAGACTGGAGAGTCGTTTCGCGCAGACATACGTGGCCTGGAGAAAGCCCTTGTGGAAGCCTTTCCAGCAGCGCCTGCGCCTGGATACCATCCCGATTACCCAGATGGTGTAGAGCTAGTGTACCCCGACGGCACATGGAGACTGAAGCCAACCGACTGGGAACGCTATATACCGGGGACCGACCCAGGTTATGGATGGTTCTACAAGGTCAGCGATGACGATGAAATTTCCAGGACTGCCCGATGCACTGGAAAAGCTTGGTAATATCATGCGCACTCAGGGTCCCTTTGCCGGGGTGATTGGATTTTCCCAGGGAGGGTTTTTAACTGGGCTCATCACGAGCCTGCTTGAACCAGGCAGGAAGAGTGTCTTCGAGAAAGCCGAAGTCGAGAGTGGAGGTATTCCGTTCCCTAAGTCATTTGATGGAGTCGAGCCTATCAAGTTTTCGATCAGCTGCTGTGGTTTCGCTGGATTGAACCTTCGGTACAAAGCCTTCTATTCCCCAAAAATCTCAGGGCCAATGCTTCATATGAATGGGCAATTTGATGATGTTGTGTACTACAAAAGAAGCCGCACTCTGATTGATGCGACCACAGGTGCTGAGGAAGAGAAAGTGCTCATTCACCCGGGCGGTCATTCTGTGCCGACTAGCAAACTGTATACAGATGCGATGATCATGTTCATCAAAGGGAGACTCGCGTCTTGATGTGATTCTGTGGGTGACAAGCTGCTATATACTATTTGAGCGGCGAAGCACCTGCATAGCCAACACTTCAATAGGGAGGGATGAAATACATCGGAACCTTAACCATGATAACCCTCAACAGTACCCGGGAAAGTATAGAACCGAGTAAGGAAGCCAATATCACGTGGTCTACATGGACAGGTACACAAGAGGAGCTAATGCACGAGGATAGTGGTTGACATGATCTGGTTTGGTGTCATGTGGCCTCCAACTAGTGACGGCATGCTTCAACAATCGTGTCTGTGTACCTTTTATTCGATTGGCTCTGTGGACCAATCATCAATCAGAAGCTCCAGCAGTCATTCACACTACAACATACATCATCTATGAATCTTAATCAGTTACTTGTAAATTCTTGGGTTCGAGCGCAGCCTAGAAACCTTATTTCAACTCTTCATAAGCCCCAGCTGACAGTATCCTCTTCTTACCTTAGCTCTCACTACAAAAGTCTACTTAGTTGAATCGTACTACGAAGGCATTGGGTTTTTTAAATGGTAAGCAACAGTCATATTTTCAAGCTATCTTCAACAAAATTTCTCGAAATTTTGTAGTACAGAATCGTGGACTTTTCGAAGCCATATGACCTGGTTCAAGTGGTGGCCATGAGAACCTCCAACCACTTCAGCAGAGCTCATTCTTGATATAACGTCCCTGCTCGTCATCGGTCTCAAAGTTCAGTTCGTCTGTTAAACATACGGACCCGACTACTGTGTCGAGTGCTCCTTCACCCACGTACTTCAGGGCTTTTTTTATTAGGGTGTCCTCGTCAACGATGTCGGCTACATCATCTATTTTGTCTTCTTTAATTCCATCGCTTTCGCCATCATTGCCGGCTTGCTCCTTCTCGTCTTGACTATGCTCGGACTCGGCAGACTGCCAGGTGACTTCCCTAAGGAAATCTTCAAAGGTATTTTCCACTTCGAGGATAGTTGGTGACAGCTCTTCCGGCACGAACTCGGGCTGAGGCAATGGTGCTGACGTGCTGGATTGGTCGGTCACCAGTACGATCTCGGGCTCGGGCAGTAGGTCGAACGCAGTTGAAGACGAGCTCACGGAGCCAAAAAAGTCCTCGATGCAACAGGCAGCTGCCTGTATGCTGGGATCGTTCTCGATATCCTCGTACACTTCGGGCGGAAATTCGCTATTTATCCAGGATAGATGGCCGTCTATAAGTTCCTGGTCGTGCTCGAGGTTGAGCGTCAGTTTGTTGTCCTCGAAAATGGACAGGTTCAACTGCGCCGGACCCTCTCCCACGAAGACATAAAATTGAGCCAACTGGCCCACTACGATCCCACCGTAGAGGGCCCTTCGGCTTCCATGGTCATTCTGTTTGTGGTACGATGCTGCCAAGCGATTCTTAAGGGGAACCTGCAAAGCAGGCCAATCGACGTCTAGTGGGCCCGTAACATCTTTCCATACGAGCATGATAAAGTTGATCTCCCTGAAGGGGTACTCTCGGTGGCTGACAATGACATGGCTCAGGTCGTAATTACGGAGCCCGACAAGGTCCGTTTGCTGATCGATAACCTCCATGTCAACCTCGCTCAAGCAAGCCTGCATCCGACCGAGCCACGCATTCGGCGAATGAATACGGCTCGGTCGGGGGGCACGGCTAGGCCGAGAGTACGGGGTCGAACGTCTCTGGTGCCGTGCACACCTCTTGATGTGCCCCTGTGAGTTGGATATCGTGGAGCTCGCAAGGTCGGAACTTGAGCTGGTAGTGCCGGTGGTAAATTGTTCCAAAGACTGGTGGAGTTGTTTTGAAGCATTGTGTGCTTTAGGATTCAATTCGTCCTCGGGGCTGTCGTCTGGCGTCAATGGATACATTGGCCGCATGACAAGGCTAGGCCTACTCAATACTTGTCTGTAGAAGGCGGGACGGGGCATGGCGGTGGTCTCTTCGGGGCTTAGAAAGGCCTCCGAATCTGCCGACATAAGTGGCGGACATGAGTACCGTCCAGCCCGGCCTTCATCAACTTCATCAATCAGACTTTCTTCGCTGATACCGGACACTTGATTCAGCAGATGTCTATTTGCCTTGGCCCATGTCTCCCTCTCTGATTCGTTTGTCTCTTCGACGTTGCTTTCTCCACGTTCCATGCCGGCGCGTATTGCATGTCGTTTCGTATCAAGCTCAGAGTGCTTGGGTCTGTCCTGGCGCTTGGGGCGTGAGGCAGGCATATTGTCTGCTCAGAGCTGCTTTGCTGCAATGAACACTTACTATGATAATGTCTTGATGTGATAGTATAGTGTCTTGCTACCGATGCTGCAGGAGATAGGAAACATCTTGGTCCCTGGAGAGGGAATCGGGATATAAAAGGGAGACTTTCGCTAGCGGCATGACAGTGACAAGCCGGTTGAGTCCTGCCCTTTGGTTCTAGGCGCAATGCGATGAATGAATATGACATTTCATGCATGATAATAGACAGTGCCGTTGTCTTCTGTGGCGAATTCCAGTCAGGGTAATAGGATAACAACGGTTAACTCCCTCCTCGAGATTTAGCGGAGGATGCGCCGTCTTTTGATTGAATTGCTGTGCAACCTCGTTATATTTTTATCCAATAGCAAAAACCCCTCATTATGCTAGGCTAGTGTGAATGATTGGCTCGGTGAAGGACGGGACGTGTTTCAGGGCAACTAGTGAGAAGCCGTGAATACACTCACTGTCTCCAGTGTACTCCATACCGGGGATTCACACCTGTCTGTGAATGCATGGATACCTCAGGCACTGATATGCTACAACTACTACTTTGTGGTCAAAATCAAAGGAAATCAGTATCAAACTTAGCTGAAACAGATACTCTGTTGTGTTATTCTATCTACTATAGTTTCATTCCATAGAGTTCATCTTCCTACCGCAGTGAAGCAAACATACCTTCCACCCAGCTTCTTCTGCAGGGCTCAAATCAACTTTTTTCCGTTCCGGCACAATCTCAACTGGTCATGTGACCTGCTGGCAGGGAGACGTGCCCCGTTCACAACCCCATTGTTTCCCCACAATCCATCTGGAGTTTACCAGATTACCTGACCAAAAAATATGGGGTTTATCGATTTCATCAAGGATATTCTGCGCCCGGGCAATGGCGTGGATTATCCCAAGCCGGGTGACATGGTAACAGTGCATTATCACGGCTATCTTTACGACCCGGCACGGTCAAGGAACCGAGGGCGTCGGTATGTTCCTATCAATCAGGGAGACACGGCTTGCCGTTTGTTTTACCATCACTTGCATGGCCTGGGCTGTTCTTCATACTAATATTGGTCCCACTATAGATTCGACAGCAGTATTAAACGGGGATTTCCTTTTACTTTCAAGGTCAGTGTCGGCCAGGTGATCAAAGGTGCGTCAGTGCAGCTACCCCTGCAGAATGTTAGGCTGATCAGTTTCAGGATGGGATGTTGGCATTTTGGGGATGAGTCTGGGTGAAAGAGCCTATCTTACATTCGGCCCGTATGTCTTATTCACAATGGCTATCTCCTTTCAACGTGTCCACTACTAACCATTCCATATGTATGACAGTCACTTTGGATATGGCGAGAGGTAAGTTTCATTCTATCCCAAAGATTTGGAACTTGCGCTGATGTTGTTTCCAGGGGAGCTCCTCCGTTTATTCCAGGCAATTCGACCCTCGTCTTGTAAGTTCCTACCCCAAACCAAGGCTTTTCTTGACTCACAGATGTGCAGCGATGTCCAGCTACTCGCCATCAATGGCCGAGGGGTTGAGTCGGATGATTCTGAATAACTGTACAATACTATCTAACTTGCTCGTAAATGTTCACATCATATACCATTTCCTTCTTTTCCACGTCATTTTGCGCTTCAGATACACAGTGTCTCATCACCTCGATCTTGCTCCATATATCTTATTCTTCGTCACACTCATGCTCTGATTTTCGCTGCGTTCAAATGGTCGCCGCAGCAGCACGTATAACCTCTGCCACCCGCGATGGCTGACTGAGCTGAGGCATGTGGCCAGCACTGCACCGCTCGATCTGGCTCCCCGCCAGGTTAGCTAGTTGCTCTTGGAGGCCCGCTGGAAGAGCATTATCACCCTCACAGACAAGGTACACGCTGGGCACATCCTTCCACCCAGCGTAGGGCACCCTGCCATTCCAACCATCAGCCGGCTGGGGGGCAAGCATAGCCAGCCACTTTGTCTTCTCTGGCTCAGGAACATCGTTGAGAAGAAGCACCTCGGGATTGACACAGTACATCGCACCTCCCTGTCAATTCACACGTCAACCAGACACCACCACATTAGGGGCGAGAACATAAATAGGCTGGGTAACCAACCTCAACAACAGCAAATGGCAAATCCTCGTGTTCATGACCTTCCGGAAAAACCGCCGCAGCCAAGAAGACAATCTTGACGACTCCACCCTGTCCGACAGCCGACTTGCTTAGGCCTTCCATGGCAGCGCTACCTAAAAATCCACCGGCCGAATGCAATACGAGAATAACGTCTTCCCCGCGGTGCACGATGCTCGTCAGATGGTCGCGCACGGCGGCTATATCATCGGTCATAGCCGGGTTTCCGGGCGAGGTGGTGCCCGTGCTGGGTAATGTGCAGACTTCCGTCTTGAAACCATCAGCCTGCAGGAGATCGCATACGGGAGTGAAGACTTTGGGCCCCTCCCAGAAACCCGGGACGAAGAGGATGGTGGGTGCCGTTTGGCCAAAAGGTAATCGTACGGTTGGAGAGGTTACGGTGGTCAGACTGTGGGTGATAGGGAGGGGCGGCTGTGAATTATATGGGTTTATCGCTAGCGCATTATGGTAGCCTAGATGAGGGAGGGGTACAAGGCTGTCACTGAGGACACCATACACTGCTAAGTTGCACTACATGTGTAGCTACTGGGTCTCAGCGAGCCAACGATGTTCTGTGGGCTGCAGTGGCGTGTAGTGCGTAGACATGGGGTATTAGTTGCTCCACCCAAACAAAGAAAAGCTGAACATCCAC